ACTAGGTGGGCATGCCTTACGGTCCGAAGATCAAGCCGCGCCATCAGTGGATCGACCTTCTTGTATCCACTTTCGCAGGAAGAATGCTGCCGGTGATCCCGAGACAGCCCGCCTCGGCCTCCCTCGAGCGGGATGGGGCTGGCTGCTCGCTGGGGGGGGGTCCCTGTAAGCCTGCCCCGGGCCCGCTGCCGCCGCCGCTTGGGCCAGCTCCCTGCGGCCGCCAGCGCCAGAGGGCGGCTTTCGCAGAACGTGCAACGCTCGGGGTGGTCCGCCTGAAGCCTAGATCCCGGCGCGAAATCCGCAAGCGCTCGCGCGTCCGTGCTGCCGCTCAAGACGTCGACGGCAATGGCGCGCCGCGAGTCGAGCGCGAAGTCCTCGATGGAGCGCCGCGTCGGTTGCCGCGCAGCGCCCGCCACAACTGGCGAACGCACGGACTTGGAGGTTTCGTGGTGGCACGGCAAGGCCAGCAAAACGACGCGCTCCTCAACTAGCTCCACAGTGGCGCAAATTAAGTGGAGCAAGAATGGGACGTCCCGTTGTCAATGCGCAACACGACCATCGCTGCATCGAAGAAACACCTGGGCTTTGCCTCCACCGGGAACATGACCTCGATTGCCTTCGCAACACGGCGCTGGTGCCCCTCGAACCCACAAGGACAAAAGCAACCTGTCCGGTCGCCGGGCTTCCCGATCTTGGGCACGTCCGCGTGCTTAAGCGCCTTGCACCACGAAAACCGACGAGACCTCAAAGATGCCTTCAGAGACGGCGGCACTGATTGCCATGCCAGCTCTGCCGCCAGCGTCGAGGGCAGCGCGAACTGCGCGTCGCTCGGCCGGCATCGCCACGAAAGACGGTCGCGGCGTGCCCGCAGGCGCGAAGATCTTGACGAGGGAATCTATGCCAGTCCATTGGGTCATCCATTGTCGCTGGGTCTCCAACTGCGCCTTGGTCTAGGCCTACATCAGCGCCTGATTGGCCTCTAGCTCCACCAATGCTGCAGTCGCAACCCCCCGCCCCCCCCGCCTTTCAGCGCCGCCCAGCAGAGCCACTGCTCTGTCTGATAAATCTCTCCTGATGCACAATCGCCCCTCGCTGTGCCACCACTCCTGCATGACCATAGACCCTAGCCGCTTCAGGCCATGCAAAATCGCGCTCGCTGAGCTGCCGGTGCCGTCGCCAGACCCGCGCCATGATGAGAAGACATCAACGAGCGCCCCTCGTTCAACGGAGCTGGTGCTAATGAGTACTCCCCAGTTGCCGACCCCGTGTGTGCGTTTGATGCTTTCCTACTTTTGTGTCTCCATGCGCCTCGTCGGAGTTGGCCCGCGAGCTTTCTTCGCCCTCGTGGCTTGCCGCCACGGCTTCTCGATTTTCTGCGGGAGCGGGCCCTCGTCGATGACGCGCTGCCTGGTCGAGAAAAATGGGAATCCAGCGACTCGAACGAGATCTCCCACGTCCGATTCTTCGCGTGCTTGATCCGTCTGAAACATGCGCGACGCGCCTCTAAATGTGGGATGCCAAGGAGCAGTTCGACTGCAACCGAGCCTGGAACAGCAATCGCCTCGGCAGAATCCAAGCTGCAAGCGTGCAAAAAACATCTCGCAAACCAGAAAAACGAATAAGCAACCTGCGTCGGACTTGATGCCCGCGATCACAGCGTCCGAAGCCTGCCTGGCATCCCAAATGGAGAACAACTTGCACGGGTAGGTGGTGTGGGCCATTTCCCGCAGACCATGCCACGTAAAGTTACCATCCCCGCGCGATGGAAACCTGAACGCGAGCGAATAAGTTTACGCAGGGTTCCAGCTGGGCCGCCGAAGGCCCCACGCTGAGGGATTCATCGACACCTTTGCCTTGGACGTGACCGTCTCGGTCAAGCGCGTGATCTCGATGGCGCGGCACAACGCTGGTCTCTCCTCGCATGTGCCCGCGCAGTTTTTTGTCATTCAAACCGGCACTACATATGTCGAGCGCTGTGCGCATCGCGGCCACGATTGGATCCAAACAGATTTTGAGCACTACCAGCCACGCCGCTGGGTAGACTCTTCGCGAACTTCAGAGAGAACTTCGTTGCGCGCGTGACTTGAGCTTTGCCCAGTCCTCGTCGCCGCGCTTGTGCTCTTAGCGGAGAACCTCCATGTGATCCTCGTCCTCCCCATCGGCGCCGAGCCCATCAAGAGGATCGTCGTCATCCAGCCCCAGCCAACCTCGATTCGACAACTCATGGTGGTTGACGCCGACCTCGTCCATGGTGGGATCACGAGGAGCCTCCATGCGAGCAAGCCAAATAAAAAGTACTTGCTCCAAAGCACCCTGGCAGCATGCGAAGACGCCAGCGTCGCATAAAAAGATGTCCTGGCGCGTCCAATGATGCCAAGGAAATAGCTGGAGTGAGTGCGGGACCAATGCGGATGCCACTTCCCCCATCTTCTGCATCGCCACATCGGGGTTGTTGCCGCAGCAACACCCTGGCGGGCAGAGTGTGACCAAAGGCCAATATATCCGACCAGTCACCGTTCAACGCGGGTAGAACCAATCGTCTCCGGTCCACGTTCACCTTGGAAATCGCGGGCAAGAGCAAATTCGTAAATCCCACATGATGCTTGGGAGGGGGAGGGGCGGAGGACGAGGAGGAGAGCGAGGAGAGGAGCACGATGATAAGCACTACAAGTAACCCTAAACCTTTGGGAGGGGACCTAAATTAGGAGGGCCAAAAACATGAGGGGCAGGGGGTCTTTTCTGCAGGTGTATCAAACCAGACCGCCAAACATCATCATCCCTACCTCGAAGATGGGGACTTCAGTGAGGCCACCGCTTCTGTTCTCGATGACGCGAGGAGGCGGGATAGGAGTGAGAGCGAGGAGGCCCAAGAGCGGAGGGACGAGTATTGCAAGCCGAGAGCTTGTGGGGGGGAAATGGGGTGCAGCCTTAAAGCCCTTCTGGGAGCTACCTTCCCAGACCGGCAGCTTGTAACTCTACAGTGAAGGCCCGACCACAAGAGACCTTCCACAGGAACCCCAACCCTGAGACCCCATGACGTCCATTGACCTTTGGCGTGGGAACGCCACGCTTTCCATAGCAAAACCATCGAAACCCTAGAAACCCAGGGCACCCTGAAGGCAAGCAGGGTGTTTTGTGGCATGGGTCTCCACTCACTGCATCGGGGAGACGTGAGACTTGGGTTCGAGGGGCTCGGGTTGGCCTGGCGGGGCCATCATGAAACTGGCACGACCTAGCCTGCAATTCGACGCGAGCTCCCGCCGCAGACCTCCCACGAAACAACGGGACCGCCCAAATCCGGGACGGGCTCGTCAAAAGGCGTCGGCAAACCAGAGTTCTGGCGCACCCGAGTCTTACGCCTCCCCAAACTTCTGATCACGGAGGGATTTGAGCAGGGACAGAACGTCCCGGCGCATTCCTATAGGCCTACCACGACGACATCTTCTTAGCACCCCAAAATATTCGAATAACTAAAACACATGTTCTTAGGACATACACCCGACTTGTTCAAACACGAAAAATCTCGATCATTACTGTTCTAAGAACATGTCGTGAGGACCATACACGGTTCTTAGAACATTGTTTGGTGGGACTTTAGGCACGCCAAGACGCTTCGCCGCTGCTTGAAGGATAGCTCATCCGGGTCGGTCGGCGCCGTGCTGGAGACCGTTTTTTCAAATCGGCGATAACCCGGGTTATCCGGGGGGGGAGAAGGGGGCCGGCCGATAACCTAATCTTCGCGCTGTGGGCAGCCCTGCATATGCCCGCGCCCCCCCCCCCCACCCCAGACCTGCACAACCGGCAAGGTTAGGTTATCCTGGGGGGCGGGGAGGGGGGCAAGCCCGATAACCTGGGTCATCGCCGGACCCTAGAAACAACAGTCTCTAGGCACGCCAGGACGCTTCGCCGCTGTTTGAGGGATAGCCCACCCGGGTCGATCGGCGCCGAGCTGGGTTCAGGTAGGGCGTGTCCCCCTGCAGGCGGATTTTGGACGACAGATGAAACATAGTTTGAAACACATGCCCAAATAGTGAGAACCTTTGACTGTGTTTGAATTTTCTCCCATGTAGAGGGACAGGCCCGACTCATAGCTGGGTCCGCCGGAGCCGCGCCGCGGGCCTGGGGCGGCCACCCCAGACGCTAGCCAGCGAGGGCAGGCGGAGAGGGGTGGGGCTCCGCGCGGCGCCCAATGCCCAGGTTTGGGTCGGGCACGTCCCCCTACAGGCCGATTTTGGAGGAAAGCTTGAAAACATGTTCTTTCAGAAAAGAAGAAGAAAGAACAAACATAGTCAGCACACCGTCCCCAGACTATTTGTTGACTACTCTTGAATGTGCCCCCTACAGAGGGACAGGCCCGACTTGAGCCCAGGTCGGCCAGAGGGGCTCGGAAGGCATCGGCTGACCCCTCGGTACCGGCCGCCGCCATGAGTGTTCAACAGCGCGTCTCCCCTGGGCCACGTCCTGGGTGCCTGGCGTGTCCCCACGAATACTGCTCTGCGGCCCCTGGGCCCCGCAAGGGCCCCCCCAACAAAAATCCTCCGTCGCGTTTTCCCTTGAGACGCGACGACCGGGCCCCGTTGAAAAACCGTCCAGGGCGATTCGCGCACACCCCAGGCCTTCTCGGCGAGGCGCAGCTGCTGGAACGCATCCCGTCGCTGGGAAATTGGCTGCGGTGTGCAAAAAACGTAGGAACACCTCGAACCTCGAACATCCGAACCGACTCGATACTTACTCCTCCCCCATGCTGATTACCTGCGCCACGACGATGCTCTTCCGCCTCCCCTCACGAGCGGCAAGCGTAGCCATATCCACGCCCGCGCGGTCTGGATTCGGGGGGGCGGTCCCGTCGTGGACACCCGGTCGCACGGATACACTCCGAGCAGGGTATTTGCAACAAAAACACTCAGTACACACGGAATCGCAGCGCAAGGTCCGGCCCGCAAGGCTGTGGATACGGACATGTTCGCCGCCCACGATCTTCTCCCCGCCCCTTCCGGCGCCTGATCGCAGACGCAGCTCCCGCCTCGGGAAGTCCGAGACCCGTCTTCCTCGCGCGCCGGCGCGGTCGGTTGAGTCGTCAAGGGCTTACCGACTTCCGCTGTCCTAAAATCGGGCGAGCCTCATGGGCAGTCTGTGGGCGTTTTGGGAGACCTCTGGGGTTGTCTTTGACTTTGTTAGAACCAAGAAGGCGAATCTACTAAAAAGTGCAAGTTTTCCTGAGGGGATGGAGCCCTCTTGCGGGTCCTCTTGGATTGGTCTTGGATCGTCGTGGACGCCTCCCCTCTAGAGCCGCCTTGACGGCGGTCTGGGGAGCCTCTTGACCCGTCTGGGAGCGTTGGAAGCCCGAAATCCGTAAAACAACTCAACGGAAATATCTAAATTTAGCCTCTCGGAGCACTCGTCGGGGTGCTGTTTGAACCTTCTTGGGCCGTCTGGAACCTCTGGAAGCCGTCTTCAGGGCAGATCGGGGCAATCTTGGTCCGTCGGGACGGCTGTCTGATCGGTCTGGGACCTGTCTGGCGGCCCCCATCAGCGGGCCCCGCCCCTGAAGCGCCCCGAAAAGAGCTGGGACCCCACCCGGACAAAAAAATGATACGGGAGGGGGGAAGTTTTGAAATGTGTGCCTGCCCGGGGTCTGGGGTCTCAGGGGGCCTCTTGGAGTGTCCTGGGCTGTCTGGGAACGTTCATGGGGCCCTCGAAGCGCGTCCTGGAGGTGTCCTGGGCAGTCTGCAGTCTGGAGGCTGTCATGTCCAGTCGCGGGACGCCCTGGGGCCGTCGCGGAGCTCCGAAGGCCACCCGGGGGGCCCACAGGGAGGGCGGATGCAGCTCTGCACAAGCGGGTCAATACCCTCTGGCGCCCAGGGGTCTGGAGCTCCCCTGAAAATATACACGTGCAGTTGCTTCTGGAGGGTCTCGTGGAAACTCCAGGGAGGCTCTCTTTGGGAGTTTCTGGAACCTGCTGGGCCATGATGGGGGCACCTTGACCTCGAAGATGGTCCAAGATCGCGTCAGGACGGTCGTTCATCGCCTCTCCTCTCTGGAAGCTTCGGGATCGCCATGAGTGCCTCAGGGCGTCTGGGCAGGGGGCTCGTGGGGGCCTCTTGTTAGCTTTTGGGGGAGCTTCATGGGCCTCGTGGGGGCGTTTTGGGGCCGAATACTTGAATATCTGTTCGGGTACCCCCTGTTGGCCCTCTTGGGGCCGTCCTGGGGCATTCATCGGCTGTCTTGGGGGCATTTTGGGCCTTCTTGGGGCTCTCTTGAGCCGTCTTGGAGAGCTGTCGGGAGCCTCGGGCCGTCTTGAGGCGATCTTAGAGGCCTTGCGGGCCGTCTTGGATGCTCCGAAAGCTCCAGAGACGAGAGTTCAAACAATTCACGTTTTCCAAAAGGAATGGGGCCATTTTTGCCGCTTGAGGCCCTCTTGGAAATCCTCTTGGGGTGTCTTGGGGGCCTCCTGGGCCGTCTTGAAGCCGTCTTGGGCGTCTTGGAACGAATAGTTAGTTCAGCGACCCCGGGCCGCCTGGGAGCAATTTGAAAGCCTGCCGCACGTACGTGGGAGGGCCAAGAGCCGCCCATGGAAGGGGCCAGAGGCCAGGTACTGAAATCAGGGTTCCCTGGGGCCCACTGGCCCCTCCCCATATCATAGATTTGTGTATACAGAGATGCATACATATACGTGTGCATATACACATACATATAGATATGCATATACAACTTCATATACGTATGCATATACATATTCATAAACAGAAGCAGCTACGTCTACACACATACATATATAGATATATACACACCAACGCGTGGCTGCCACAAGCCAGGTATCACTGGGGTACGTTTTCAGACACCCCTCTTCCCCCTCTTCTTCGTCCTCCTGATCTTCCTCCCCCTCAACTCCTCGTCCTCCCCCTCCTCCTCCTCCTCCACTTCCTCCTCCTCCTCCTCCTCCTGCTCCTCCTCCTCCTCCTGCTCCTCCTTCTCCTGCTCCTCCTTCTCCTGCTCCTCCTCCTACTCCTCCTCCTCTTCCTCCTCCTGCTGCTCCTCCTCCTCCTCCTCCTCCTCCTCCTCCTCCTCCTCTTCCTCCTCCTCCTCCTCCTGCTCCTGCTCCTGCTCCTGCTCCTCCTTCTCCTCCTGCTCCTGCTCCTCCTCCTCCTTGTCCTCCTCCTCTCTCTTCTCTCAGCGCACTCAGTACACGGGCGCCTACTGGAATGCGTGCCGGGAACCTTTTTGGAAGCATTGTGGCAGTCTCTGGAGCCTTTCTGGGCCTTCCTGTGGAGTCCTTTGGAGCCTTTGTTGGTCCGTCTGAGGGCACATTTCGGCCGTTCCGGGTCCCTCTTGGCTCGTCGTGGGGAGCTCAGCCCGTCTTGGGGCCCTCCTGGGGCCCTCTCCGACCATGTAGGAATCCTCTGGTGGCCCTCTCGGGCTTCCTGGGAGCTCTCTTGGGCCGTCTTGAAGCTGTTCTGTGCCGCTTGAAGCTCTCTTCAGCCCATCTTGGAATCCTCTTTGGGGCTTCTGGGGCCGTCTGGGGCCCATTTTGGTAACCTCCTGGGTCGTCGCGACCGCTGGTAGAACTGAAAAGCGAAGCTCCTAGATATATGTTTTTCCATCGGAAATGTTGAATTCTTGCCTTTGGAGGGCCTTCTCAACGGCCTCTTGAACAGTCGTGGGGGGGTCCTTTTGGGCCTTTTGTGGCCCGTCTGGGAGCCCATTTCGGCTGTCCCAAGCCCCTCTTGGCACTTATGGAGACCTCTCCGACCATGTAGGGATGGATCCTCCGGTGGCTCCCTTGGGCCCCCTGGGGACCGCCTCGGGCTGTTTTGGAGCTCTCTTGTGCTGCTCGACGCTCTGTTGAGGCTGTCTTGGAGCCCTCTTGGGGGCCTCGTGGACCGTCTGGCGCCGATTTGGGGGCCCTCTGGGGCCGACGTGGCCGCCGATGGAACATACGAAACGAACATCATAGAGATGCACGTTTTTCCATTGGAAATGCTAGTTGTTTGCACCCGGGAGCCTTCTCAGCGGCGTCCTGGACCGTCTTCAGGGAGTCCTGGTAAGTCTTTTTAGGACCCTCTGGGAGCCCAGTTCGGCCGTTCTGGGTCACTCTTCGCCCGTCATGGGGACCTGCGCCCGTCTTGGGGCCCTCTCCGACCATGTAGGGGTCCTCCGGTGGCCCTCTCGGGGTTCCTGGGTACTCTGTTGGTCGGAGTTGGAGCTCTCCTGTGCTGCTTGAAGCTCTCTTCAAGCCGTCTGGGGGCCCTTTTGGGGGCCTCTTGAGCCGTCTGGGGCTCATTGGGCCGTCGCGGCCGCTGGTAGGACTGAGAAGCAAACATATAGGAAATATACGTGTTTCCATCGGAAATGCTTGATTTTTGCCCTTGGAGGGCCTTCTCGGTGGCCTCTTGGGTCGTCTTGAGTGCCTTTGTGGCCGTCTAAGAGCAACCTTGGGCTGTCTTCGAGCGCTCGTGGCCCGTCTGGAAGCCAACTCAGTACGCTCTTCAGCCACCTTCCAGACAACCTGGGGCGCTTTGGGCGCCTCTTGGGCCAGCTTGGGAGCATCTGGGGGGGCCCGGGGCCCCTTCTGAACTTTCTTGGAGCCCTCAATGCCCCCCTGGCCCCCCATGCGAACCAGAGGTCGCAGTTCGGGGGTCTCCCCGGCCTACTCCGATATACACACACACATATATATATATATACACAGAACCATCGCGGGCGCGCTTCTCGCGCGCTGAAGTTCTAGCTAGGCTCGACAGGCTAACGAATGGAATCTTAATTGTTAAAGCGACTTGTGCATCGCACGACCTTCTAGTAGTCCCTGCGCAAGCCTCGGAAGCTTATAAAGGGGAAATGCGGAAACCACAACATCATAAACTCCCTTGAGGTGCTCGATGATTTGGAGCCCTCGAAGGTTTACTGTGATCTGTCTTCGGCGGTGACGGAGGCTTTGATGATGGTCCGACGTGCAACAATAAAAAAAGGCAAAGTTGTATTAGCCTGGCGAAGGACCCAACCAGATGCAGTTGTGGATACCGCAGTTTTAGGAATCGTCTTCGGTGGAGCCCCATAGTAGGGCCACGAAACGCTGTACTGGGTGTGGGAGTGCACGCGGACTGCGCCACTGGAACCTTCGGTGGAGCCCCCTTGTAGGGCCACGAAACGCTGTACTGGGTGCGGGGGACGCATGCGGACTGCGCCACTGGAACCTTCGGTGGAGCCCCCTTGTAGGACCACGAAACGCTGTACTGGGTGTGGGAGACGCATGCGGACTGCGCCACTGGAAGCTGCGTAAAGCTCCCCATGGGGCCACGAAGCGCCGTACTGCTGTGGGGGAGACGCATGCGGGCTGCGCCACTGGGACCTTCGTCGGAGCTGCCTATGGGGCCACGAAGCGCTGTACTCGGTGGGTGAGACGCATGCGGGCTGCGCAAGTGAGACCTTCGGTGGAGCTCCCCATGGGGCCACGAAGCGCTGTACTTGGTGGGTGGAGACGCATGCGGGCTGCGCCACTGGGACCTTCGGTGGAGCTCCCTATGGGGCCACGAAGCGCTGTACTGGGTGTGGGAGACGCATGCGGGCTGCGCCACTGGGACCTTCGGTGGAGCTCCCTTTGGGGCAACGAAGCGCTGCACTGGGTGTGGCGGACGCATGCAGACACCCCCTCTGGGGCCTTCAGTGGAGCCCCATAAGGCCCTCTCGGGCCGTCATGTGCGCCTCTGGCGCCGTCTTGGGGCCCTCTTGGGCCGTGTTCGAGGCTTCTGGGGCTGTCTTGGAGTGGACCGTACAGCCTCTTGGGCCGTCGTGGAGCGTCGGAAAACTGAAAAGGCGAGAACTTGGAAATCCTCCAAAAACCATTTGCAGAATCAATAAGTTGTGCCTCCTGGGGCTCCTTTGGAGGCATCTTGGAGGTTTCTGGGGGCGTCTTGGAGGCCTCTTGGATGGTCAGGGGCTAATTCTGGCCGCCTTGGCCGTTTTGGCCGCCATTGGTCGTTCCCGTTGTCTGGAAGCACCATGTTTGGCGATCCGGAGGCCGTCTTCGGGCGATCTTAGGGAGCCCTCGGCG